AATCTGGTATGTAAATTCTCAATCTTTATACAGAAGGAACAGGGGTGTTGTTTTGCTTTATTTGTTTGTTGTTCGTTTGATTTTTTTTTCCATAGAACATCCCAAAAGCTAAAAACTGCTACCTTGCCTTCTGGGAAAGTATACAATTTCTTTGATTATCTGTACAAGAAGATAAGCTAGCAGAGTGGCAATATTCATCCCTACTTGGGTAACTCTTAATTTCCTTCTCATAGTAGTCTCCTCCTTATGAAGGGACTAGGAGCATCAGAGAACAGAAGAAATGAGTCAAACCCTGAGCTCCACTTATCTCCAGCGATCAAAGCAGTAAGCACAGACTGTCCTCTTGGGAGCTGCTGTGGCTTCTTCTGAGGAGAGAGTGAAGAATACAAATGCCTGTGACAGGCAAGGAAATTGGGCAACATGCTGAGCTCCCTTTTTGTTATTACCAGTGACCACATTTGCCCCTATACAGTCTGGGTAGTCTAAGGATGAATGGAAGCTAAAAATGAAAACGCATGGATGAATTTGAAGAGATTAACTTGTGCAAGAGGCTCAGGACAAAGACATTGCATCATGCTGGACTTAAAAGATATATTGAATAGGGCTAGAAGCAAAACATAATGGGTGAGAATTTCTCACAGCAGGGAGACAGATCTCTGAGCAGTATGAACTGTCCAAAGAAAAACAGGAAATGAATAACACCCATAATGAGTATTTAGCAGGATAACAGGTGCCAATTTTAGCTCAAAGATTGTCTTTAGACATTGAGAAGCTCTGACTAGTTTATTGTAAGGACTCACTTCTCCTAGGATGTGCCCTACAATGGGCGAACCTTTTATATCAGAAAGACACATTGCAGGACCTCTTGTTTTCTATTTGTATATCATACCATTTTCTGGGAAAGAAGATGATAGGCTATTTACAGACAAACCAGATCACCAAATGTAGACTGGCCAGATTAAAATAAAGATGAGCTATGTAGCACTTACCTCTTTAAAATGATTATTTAAAGTTCCTGGATTTCAGGGAATTGAAGATAAAGGAAAAGATGGAAGAAGGATTTAAAATACTGAAAAATATGTTAGCTATTTCTTTTTATGCTAATTTGGTATACTGAAGGGGAAGGGATGAAAGTTAATGCATTGATTTGTAGAAGTGATTTCATCGGTCCTTGTGTGGGAAAATAAGTGTTTCTCCCCTGCCCATGCCCCCATTACATTTTACTCAGCAAATTCATGTTTGCTTAGCATATCATTGGTAGCTCTTGCATGAATTGAGCCAGAAGAATCACTTAATTTTATAGGATGCTGAATCCTGGTATCAAAAGTCAATAGCATATTTTCTCCTAGTAGTTTTGCATTTACTTTAAAAGCTTCCCTTCTCCTGGAAATAAGGTCTGTCTGTATCTTCACAAAGTAGGTGTTCCCTGACACTAATGCAGTGACTGACACCACTGAAAGTAATAGTCTTGCTCCCTTTGCAGCCCAGAGCTCCTAAATCTGCTTTTCGTTATCAGTATAATGGGGCTGAATACATTTTTAAGAGATGGTAGCTATTGATTACTTAATGGAAAAAGTTAGTATAGAGAATTGCTGAAGCAGCCCTATTTAGTGCTCTCCAGTGCAAGAAGACCATTATCTAGAATAGTGGAAATCATCCTGTAACCCTTATTAATATTTAATAGGAATGAAGCAACATTGAAGTACACTACAAAATAGCCCAAGGCTCCTGCACATGTAGGATATAAGGTTGTTTCAGGGGTCAAAAAAGAATAACGGCTTTCCCTGTGCTCAAGCTGTTTGTAGGTAAGACCAACAATAAACAATGTTTTTCCTCGTGTTCCTTTGAAAGTATTTGCAGCACATCTGCACTTTAATATACAGTTATTCCTACTAGACATCTTGAAATGATTGAATGCAACAGAAAGGTCAGTGTATGTTTAGACATCATTGTTGAGACTATTTTATACTTGCCCAATATTGCTGTGAATCCCAGCCTCCCTCTTTCTATCCCTCCTGCTCCATGCTGCAGGGCACATTTGGCTGGGTTGACAAGCTGGTGAAAGGTGTTAATCCTGTCTAATAGAACCATAATCCTTGGGGCCACGGTTTTATATCATCTATTGAGCTAACCCAGTCACAGGATATTGCTCATCTACTTAGCTGCAAAGTTCTTTATGGGAATTTTAGATAAAATTTGTGTACAATCTAAATCGTCCTTTTCAATTTCACAAGGTAAAAACAAACAAATAAACTACAATGTTTAGCCAACGGAGATTTTCTGGGAGATTACAATCAATTAAGAGGAGAGCTGGGTGGATTTTTCCTTTTTTTTTCCTCTCTCTCTCTTTTTTTTTTTTTCCCCCTCAGTAAGTAGTAAATGTCATTTTACTTATCCAAAAATATTCACAAATCTGGGTCTGCTTCTCCAAATAACCTTTGGCTGGAAATATTTTTCAGGTTAGATATGCTCAGAAATGTAGTGGGAAAAAAAAAAAAAGTGATTTCTTCTTCCTTAAGCTGCAGTGCTTAGAACATGGACCCAAAATTTGGCTACACTCCTTTTCCTTCCAGCTGCGCTCAGGCCTCTCCCACTGCTATGTCTACATTAAATTTATCAGAGTAGGGGATAGATGGAGCTGGTTAATAAAGAAGTGTGGGAAAACAGGGAAATGGAACAGCAAGGAGCTTTAATTTTCAGTTGTGCTCCAGGAGATGCTGATTTTCTTCTCAAATGGAGACTTTTAGACAAAGTATTTTCACATGGCTTCACATAGCTTTTCTTTGTCACATTTTTTATTCCTCTGCAAACTATTTTTAGTTTAAAATGACTGCGTGTAAGCGATAAAGGAGCTAATACGTGTAGTAACCCTGTGATTTACGAGCAGGGACAGAATAAGACGGGGTCCTTCCTGGATAGAAACACCCAGGGGAGGTATGTGTGTGCTCCACACAGCTGGTATCATTTTGATGAACAACTTTCATGACACCACGGTTGCAAAGCCTGACTACCACCTCACCATCCTGTGTGGCATCAGGAGCCTGACAGTGTTACTGATGAGTCCTGCAGAGGACTGACTGCTGCCAGGGAAGAAGAGTGTAAGGAGACAGAGCAGCAAACAGCAGCCTGGTAGCTGTGAACAGAACAGGTACGAGGCCATACCAGCACTCAGAAACTTGCCAGCAGCCAAAATCATTCCTTAGGCCTCAGCTCAAACAGTTTTTCAAAAAACGGGTTTTCCAGCTTTCCAGAGGACAGTAATCCTGCAGCATTTCTAAACCCTGGTGCCTGGGCAGGGAACAGGAGGATGGGTGCCGTGCAGGTGGCGTTGCCGGCACACTGGGTGTTTGGGCAGCTCTGCCCCTCTTACTGCCACCAGGAGATTTCCCCTTAGCTGCTCTGAAAGCAGATGCATGCCAGCGTTACGCGTCTCTGCAACACACAGGCAGCCAATGGGGCAGCCTATTAAACCACTCCTTTTCTCCTCCTCTAATCTTGTCCAAAGGGTGGTCTATCTCAGTTGCCTCTGAAGCTACCTCATGAAAACTTTTACCTGGTAGAGAAGATTGAAAAGGTGTAATGGTAGAGCAGGACCAGGAGCTCACAGGTCGTGCATTCCTGGATGGAGAGCAAAAGGAGGTAGTTAGAGATATTGGGGAAGAGGGCATGATGGCTGCTTCGGAAACCTGGTGGAAGGTGAAAAGATGGCTCAGGTAGGGCTTGGGGGTAAGAAAGCAATGGAACAAGGAACTGCTTTGGCTGAAATAATGTGGGCAAGGTAAACTGATGAATAAACGGAGTAAAACCTGCAACCAGGTAAACTGAAATCACTTACATGTATTTTCCTTCCAGCGGGGATTTTGAATACTCGGAAATATACTGACACAACATTACGTAGCATAAAATAGTAAATCCTTCTTCAAGAAATCTGATACTGCATTAAAATACCTTTATTCTGTAAGACAGAGTAAAGAACTTTAAAGGAAGTTATTCTTGATCTATCTTTGAGTATACGTGAAGATATAAAATGAGCTTTTAAATACATTGTAGAGTTGATAAACATCCAAATTTAGGCTGTTATTAGGGCCACACTTAAAAGGAATTCTGATTTGTCATCAATGTTGATTTTATGCAGTTTGCCACAGGGTCAGAAAACTTTGTCTGAGCTTGCCTGGCAGACATTTCTGTGTGACCACTCTTGCAAAAATCGTCTTAACCACTTCTCTCCTTACCATGTAAATCTTCCACACAGACAAAGGGTGAAAATTAAAAGCTAGTAAAAATAATCCATTCATGGTCTCTTACTGCACAAGCTCAGATGATGCAGCCTTTCTTACATGCTGTGGCACAGGGGAAAATCTCTGCACATTTAAAAATCAGATTTTCAAACTGGGGGATTGGGAAGGAAAACACAGGGCCTACCTGGTTATTCTCTTAGTTACTCCCTCTGCAACATAGGCATTTTGGAAAAAATGTGTTCATAATCCTTGGCAGTCCTTGTTGATTCCCATCGGTAAAGAACCATAAGCAGTCTCCCAGCTGCAAAAGTAAACTGTACAAATTGCCACAGTTGAAGCCACCATAACTGACTCTATAGCTTGTACAATATTGATGGAAACACCTGTTTTTTTCTGAGCTCATGCACGGCAATATTACACAGAACTCATAAATATCTGTGTATAATTAATGTGAAATTGATGTAGAAGAACTTTATCACACTCGTGATCTAGACAGTATTTGGCGTAGTATTGCTTTTCTTATTCATTTTCCTGCTTTTGGCTGTACAACCACTATTTTTTTCCCTTATAATCACCTCCTAGTTTGTTTCTAGCTGGATATAGCAGTTCATGGTCCACTGATCTGGGAGAAATTTTTAACACAAGCAGGCAACTTGACAGTTGTATTTAAGTTTTAATAACAGAACAAAACACCATCAGTGAGTCAAGTTTTGTCTTCTGATCATTTTTTTACATTTTTTTTTTTAATTTCTTTTTTTACAGAGAACAAGCAGCTTTGGAAGCTTTGACCGTTTCAGGCATCACTCAATATCAAAGACAGATGAGTCAGCTGAGGTCTGTATAACACCGATTTTTTTCTTCAGTTCACTTTCCCACAACAGTTATGCAAAAAGACTGGGAAACTACTGTGTAAATTTTACACTGAGAACTTTACTTGTATACATGAACCTGACTGGCTAATTGGGCCCTTGCCAAAATGAACAAAAAGAATCACACACGAACTTTGGTACTTTGATGGGAAGAGAAGAAACAATTTTTCAAAAGAATAGAAGTGCACTTCAGGTTGGTGCACGTCCAAAGTAACCGTCATTTTTGTTTTCAAGAACTTGCATAAATGCCCTCAATTCTTGTTTGGATTAAGAACAAGAAACAATAGGAAGCAAGATTTTCTAGCATAAAATATATTTTCTTTCTGTCATTCACACATGCAGTGGTGTGCTGCTAAGCTGTTTAGGAAGACAATTCCCCAGGAAAATGACTATGATTGACATTAGTAATCTTAGCTGCACTGGTGTCCTTAATATTTTTCTGTAATTCCTATTCCACTACAGTGAATTTCATTTTCATAATCAGCTGGCGCTTACCTTTTTATTTCAAATCAGATATCTGAGCTGGAGACTATAAGTGACGGAGATGCAGTACAAAGTAAAGCTGCAAATAACGGAGGAAGTTTGGGTAAGAAGATGAGAGCCATTTCCCTCACCATGAAGAAAAAGATGGGCAAAAAGTACATCAAGGCACTCTCAGAGGAAATGGTAAATACAGCTTAAGAATCTTGTGTTTGATGATAACACATATGAAGTAAATGTTAAGGGCACTTTTCCTGTTCATGTTTCAATTGCTATAAATTATGACAATCCAGAAAGACACGGAAGCACATACTGAATTAAAATAGCTTTTAGTACATACCCTTTCTTTCACGTGCATGCTAAAGTACACAGAAATGCATGCACATAATTAAAGCATCACATAGTAAAGGCCCAAGATAGACACAGGAGTTTTACATCATTGAATTCTGCTTTGTCATCAAGGAGCATCTGTACAAGCATCACAAAAAAGTCTCCTGATGTGGACACAAGGAGAATTGGATGAACCCCCTCAGAAGTCTGATACTGAACCTGTACAAAATCCTTCATTAGAAGAATATACCTTTCAAAATACAAGAATTATTTCCTAAGTTTATTTGTAGAGGTCAGCTATTGTCCTAGATAGAGCATGACAATGCATATGCCTTATCTGCTTTTACCTTATCTAATCTTACTGAACCTATCTTTATTAAACAGAAAAAAAAACACAAAATGTTTCTTACACTGTAAATCCTCTTTTCTCAATATGTTGTGTCAGTGAGTTCCAAATCTTAAAAAACTATAAAAAAAAGGAGTTGTCATACTTAATCATCCTAAAAAATCTAGCTAGTCTGAATCCTATCTCACACATGTCAATATCAAAGAAGAAGGGAAAATAAATAAGAAACTTCACAAGTAGAGAATAGTGTTTCATATTTTAGACCATTTTTGGAGGTCAAAGTCAAGGATTCCTATTCCCTTAGTTTAGTTTGCATTTTTTTTCCAGAAATTCAAGAGATTGCAATCTATGAGTTTTATGTTGTAAGAAAGAAAAGTCAAGATTTCAACATTTACCTTCTGCACACTTATGGCAGTGATTCACATGACAGAAATCCAATGAATTATCTGATTGGACACACATGTAGCATAATCTCCATTCCTGCAGGAGATGATGACAATCAATACCAGACCACTTATCAATATATGGATTAAGCTGCTGACTGGTGTAACAAGCACTCTCCTTGGTGAAAACCAATATAGTCTTTTATTTCAATGCCATGCCTTATACATACCTGCATGGGTCTCTACTTCGTACATGCACTGCCATCTTCACTGACTTCATCAAATAATTAATACTCCCCAAATATAACATAACATTCTAAGTAGTGCAGGATACTTCAGTTGCATCAGAATATCATGCACATTGACAACGTGGTGAAGTCTGCTGAAGAAACTACATCCTTTGAAAGCTCATTGTTATTTCATTTTTTTGTTACATCATCCCTAACTTACCCGTGAAAGAAATATGGATCTTTTTGTTTTGAATAAGCTGCAATTCCTGAGGAGGTGTGATTTACTGTTATATATTCAAGGGGCTGATTTCATACACCATTAGATTTTGTGAGAGAAACATGCATCTGTTAATTCTGAAATGCACTGGATTCTAAGATCAACGTGTAGGTTGGGCAATGTGGTGAGCATGGTGCCAGAACATGCCCACACCATCCATGTGTGCAAGCTGCCTCCAGAATGACATCCAATGGCTGGGATGCCAGCCTGCCATCAAGTGACCATGATATTCAGCAGTTAACACAAAACACAGCTGTGTCAGCTAGAACTTCCCCATGTCCTTTCAGAGTTAAACTTTATATTTCCTTCTCTGAGACAATCAGAAAAAACACCTTGTCTGACTACCTGTGAATTTCCTGTTACAAGCGCTTGTTGCTGCTGTAGTATATTACAGACTTCTGAGCTGGAAAATAAGTTTAGCTGCTTGAGCAGGAGTGAAGCAAAGTCAGTGGGGTAGAGAGAAGGCAGGGTGTTTTCCAAGATCATAAGGTGCTAGAGGTGGTGCTGGGCATCCTTAGTATCAGGCATCAACTTCTAAAATGCTTTCTCACACAGAGTGGTTCTTAATAAAGTTAACCTCCAATCATGATTTAAAAGAAAAAAAACAAATGTTTGTTTAAAATAAATCTCTTGGTGGTTAATACCTGTTTTTTGTGTTAAAGAATGAAGAAGTGAAAGATGACTGTGATTCCGGTGGTGGAATACACACCGAGAAGGTTTCCCTAAAAGCCAGTGACTCTATGGAAAGTCTCTATAGTCTGAACAGTGGCCAGAGCTCATCTAGTAAGTACAAGATACCCATAAGTCTTATTCAGTTGCTGCAACAATATTGTTACTGTTTAAGTCTGAGGTAGCAGAGCTTGTGATCAAAAATGTAGCAAGCTCTTCAGTCTTGCAGACAAAAGTGTAATTTGATTAAATGTGTGGCAGCTAGGGTAGATATAGCTCCCTCCAGAAATAAGGCTAGTATTATTAAGAGTGGAAATATTAACTCAAGTAAGAAAATAACAGGTATTATATAATGGGGATGGTGCTGGTATATATGCCATAAATGTTTTTTTGGGATTATCACAGCTATGGTGCTGGTACCCACAGTGTTGCAGTCACTGAGCGCAGCCACACAAGCATCCTTTCTGGGGCTTGTTGCTGGGAGTTCATCCTTCGCCCTGCAGATGTGAGGCAGACAAAGTAAGAGGCCTCTCTGAGGAGACAGGTGATGGGTGCCTGACCTGGCAGCTTCAGATTATGATGCAGAGAGACAGCCTGCTTCTCCACAAACCCACTGAAAACACTCTCCCAGTAGGGTAGTCTCAGTCAGAGGGCAGATGAGAAGTGGCGCTTGCCTCCACCTCTCTATCCGTTGCTCTGCTGTGGACACCTGCTGGGCAGCAGGCCAGAGCTGTCCATGATGACGTTGCTGTGCCACAACTGCAGGTGCCATGTGAGCCCTGAGTGGGGACTCGAGCTGCAGTCCAGACCATTTGCACTTAGTAGTTAATCTGGCCCTCAGACAGAGCTGCGCATTTAAGCAATCACCTCAAACAAAACCATTTTTATGATCATTCTCTATGATGTGATTTGTGAAAATTGTATCTGTGAGTTTACTTCCAACACACTGCTGCTCTTATCTAAAAACATATTTGGATGGGATATTGCAGAGCTTGCTCAAATTTGCTTGAATTACTGTGCCGCTATTTTATTGCTCAACTTGGATAAAATGACAGGCAGAAATGTTGATAAGATTAAAATTTCCCTCTGCAATGCAGGTTCCTTTGATATTTCAGCTAGCTCTATAATGAAATAAAGTAACTTCTATGGTACTTGTTTTCATTTCTCTGAATAAACAGAAGTTCAGCAGAATTAATTCTCTAAAATGCACTTTTAGAGTACATTTTAGGGATCTGTGGAGGTAATATTTCTAAGTCTGTAAGTAAAGTGTTTAGTCCATTAGTACCATCACCAGAAAATTATTATTTTAGGGAAGATGTTAATGAAAGACCTCCTACCTATTTTTTTGGTCTCTTGTAGCAGGCTTTTTATTGAATGTATTTTTCCTGGAACGTGTCAAAACTGCCTAGAGTACAGGCTATCTCTAAATCAGTGCTTTTGAGTGCTCTTCTCTCAGCTGCTGTGCAGAACTGTGTGTCTGGGAATTCGGTGCAGATCTCTCAACCTGACTTTCCTTAAGGTGGGGTGACCAGCTGCTCAGACGGAACGAGCAACAGGGACAGCCTCCGGCTGGAGGAGGAAGTGCCGTACAGCGGGCCCTTCTGCGGCCGAGCCAAAGTGCACACCGACTTCACACCAAGCCCCTACGACACCGACTCGCTGAAAATCAAGGTAGACAACCGCTAGGATTCCTCTTTTCCAGAGAGAATGCCAGGGGGGCACTTCTCATATGGAAGAATATGTTTACTAATACATTTTTAACAGTTAAGCACATGCAATGCTCTAAAAGATCAATCTGGCTTTGCAATGCAAAATTTCCTCTCTTTCCATGCACAGATACATTTAATATCATTACCCTCCAGACTACTCATCTGGACTACTAATCTGGACCTTTTTCTTTTTCCTCTTTGTAAACACTTTCATATCCAGATCTTATGCACACTTTAGCATCTTTTCTTCTTCACAGCCTCTTCTTCTCATAAAAATCTTCTCCTGTATGTAACTGCAGTCTCCCTCTCTTCCTCTCTGCCTTACAATACCGATATTGCTCTGCTGGTATTTGCCGTCTTCACCACTTGTCTTCCGCTTCCACCCACATCTACAGCATTTCTTTCAAAACAGTTTAACTGGTCATGAAAGCAAATGTCTGCTGGGTCACACAGGTTCCCTTTTCAGACACCGGGGTGGTGTATTTTAGAATTAAAAACAATACTCATGGTTGAAATCCCCTACATTTCTCTCACCAAATTTCAGTATCCTGGATGAAAGTGTGTCTACACCTTGGTTTAGAGCCACTGTCTAATTCTGATCTCCATCCACATCTGAAATTTCTGAGCCTCCATGAGTATGTAAAATAATATGTGTGCTTATAGAGCTTTAAGCGAACATTTTCGTTTCCATTTCAGATGTGTTCATAGCTTTGAGCTCCATACTCTAACAAAAACAGAGCACTGGAACACAGTCAATTTCATACTGCTGTTTGTACTAAAAATAGGGTGACTACTTTCTTGACCAGACCAGAAAGGCTTTGAAAGTCTTGAAGTTCTTAACAGATATTTTAACAAACAGAGTTTGTTTTTTAACTTTGAAACAGAATGCCAAATGAGCTGTCAATGTCAGGATTTGTTGGATGATTCTTTAAAGACTTTCAACATTTTTATAAGTTCTGTGGTACTTGCCCAAAAGAGAGGACTCAGTTCTGAGGTCATGGGAGCAAGCTGGGTAGGGGGATGACTTAGAAGGGAGCCTTTTTACCACGTGAATTACTCAGAGTGACTGTTTTGCTGATCTGAGACCTCAGTTCCCACAGCATGGCTGTGAAAACCTTTACCAAAGAGCCTTCTTGAAGTAGCTGTGTTCTCACTCCTTTTTGCACTCGCATTTGTGAGCGAACGAACAAGTGTGGAGAGCTGAAGCCTTCTGATTTGCCCGCTGAGGTGCCTTCCACTATTTTCCCAGTCAGTTGTGTTAGTAATAGTGGGAAATTTGTCAGGACATTTGGGAAGGACAGACAGGAAGATATTAAGGCAGTTAAATTTTCTTTATTGCCTCTGAAAAATGTAGGCAGTGTTTTCTACTGTAAAATGGGTAAGGGTCAACCTTTCACACAGATCAGCTATTAGTTTTTGAAGATCCTTGAGATGTTGGATAATAAGATTATTGTGTAAATGGTTTGGGACATTTGGAAAATAACCTCACGTTATTCCCTTGTTTTTTGCGAAAGCTATGCCCACTATCCATGGCAAAAGTTGACTGATTGCTGATGCAATCCTATCCCTTTTCAGGGACCAAGGACACAAATGGTGAGAAGGGCTGCTTATGCTCACTGCTCCTTCACAGATGTTTGGAGATAAGGACTAACTCCATTTTCTGTAATTATTTTGCTGTGATTTTATAAAAGAAAGGAGCTAAATCTCAGTAATTTTACAAAGTTACTTTGCACTGACTAGTTAAGTTTCTATGCTGTTTGTGCTGGTTTTGGTCCGTAAAGAAAAGGCTGCCTATAAAGTGACATGTAAGCAGTGATGTGCTTTCTTTTATTGTTCTAGAAAGGAGACATTATAGATATCATCTGTAAAACCCCCATGGGCATATGGACAGGCATGCTGAACAACAAAGTAGGAAATTTCAAGTTCATTTACGTGGATATTATCTTGGAAGAGGAGACTGCACCCAGAAAGATAAAACCGCACAGAGGAAGCAAAAGGATCAAGCCCAAAACATTGCAAGAGCTCCTGGACTGTGTCCACCTGCAGGTCAGCCAACATGTTTCCCATCTGTATTTGAAATGTTCCATTTCTGTGCACTCAGGTTTGGAAGCCACTTACAAGCAGGAGTAGAAAGGTGTGTTTCAGCAGTTTTGATGGCAGCAAAGCAAAGCAGCTTTCTTTTATCTGATGCCAGTGACTTATAGAACTGCATTTTACCACATTTTCTTTGGGCTAAAAGACTTCACTACAAAGAGGCACAATGGTGACTTGTTAAGTCTCTGGAACCTGATTGGACCTGTGTGCCCAAGCGTAGGAGGTGTGTGACTGTGGAAACCTCAGGGACAGGACAGTGGTCTGACTCCAGTGCCAACATTTAGAATTTGGGTTTCTAATTTCTCATGATCTTTAGGGAGCTATAGTGTTTTTGCACTATGCTCATGCTGTGCCTCTCTCCCTCTCTGCAACCCGAGTTCTCGACTGGATTGCAAAGCATAATTAGGTCATGATTTACAGGTAACATTTTTAATAACGGTTATTGCTTTGCTGCTGATGCAAACACTCCTTTCCCTGGAGCATGTGCAGAGTTTCATACTGCATTGACACATAGCTCAAGGGGGACCACGTGTGACACAGCACATCTGAGGGCTCCCTCAGCTTCTCACCCTTGCATATATCAGAGGACTCCTCTTCTGCAAAGGCAGAGCACACTCTACCTCAGAGGCACTCCTGGACACAGCACGGGAAACACACATGGGGTGACCCACAAAAGTCCAAATGCTCAGCAGATTAAATAATTTCTGGCAGAGCTCTGTCCTCAGCCAGTTTGCTGCCAGATTCTTGTCAGACAACTCAGGCACAGATGCCGGAATGGCCAGAAGGATCCCCAGGCATCTGCGCCCCTGTCCTCTCTTGCTCTCCACTCTGGTTTAAAGCCAAAGCTGGGGTCAATCAGACTGGAGAATGGAGCCCATTTCAGCCCGATGAAAAAGTAAAAGAGAATTTGTTCTTTTCCTCTGCTATATAATATTTTTTTATATGAGATGGTTTGCTTGTTTCTTTTTGTAGGAATATGCCTCAACCCTCTTGCTAAACGGCTATGAAACTCTAGAGGACTTAAAGGATCTACAGGAGAGTCACCTGATCGAATTAAATATTTCAAACCCAGAAGACAGGGCAAGATTGTTATCAGCAATTGAAAATTTACAGGACTATGAGAGTAAGTGTTTAAGCTTTGTTGTCATGTGTGAGTTTTAACTGAAGAAACACATTTAAAGAAATAGTGATTCTCACACATCTGTTTTAAATATGAAACATGGAGTCAGATGGTTTTCTTATTGGCTCACATAGCAAAGTATGCTTTTCTAAATATGTATATGATTACTAGTAACGCACAAGTAATTTAAAATTTCTTATTTATAGGTCCTAGACTAGAGATGGGCAGCAACTATCGCTTAAGAGCAACCCTATGTATGTTTGGAGGCCCAACACCCAAGAGAACTTAAGTGACTTCCTGAAAGTTACATGGTCTGTTCAAGAGCAGAAAATAAAGCTGCCCAAAATCTGCACTAGTACCTGAACCACAATAGAGCTTATTTCAAATAGCTGCAGTACAGAATTTTCTTAACACTATCGAAACAACATTCTGCAAGAAGAATACAGGTTTTCCTTCCCTCACTTCATCCCACACTTAAATCCTTATCAGTTTCTTTTGTAGGAAGCTTTTGTAGAAAAACCCCAACATGTACTAATAGCAGGTTTGAATTCTTTTCTCAAGTGAATCTGACTCAGGTTTCCAGTGAGCTTCTGCATGCTGATCATATGGTGTGTGTTTATGTATGTGTATTCATCACCATTACGTCTTTTTCACTTGTTCCTTTCATTGGAAGTGGAAAAGCTTGGACAACGAACAGAAAATACTTTTCTCATGATATTTTAATGGTATTTCCAGCCTGAATTCTAATTTTTAAATAATTTATGTCAAATTCCTAGAAACTACAGCTTATCTACTTAACTAGACAGAATAAACAGGAGATGTTTTCCTCTTCATGACTATTTGTGCATACTCAGCCCTATGCTGAGAAGCCATTTCATCAACTGCGCACTCACAATTGAGAGGTATCTGAAAGAAAGAAGGAGACCTGGAATAGAAATGTCTTCCTCGGATATTTTAATGCCAGTTCTTGTCTGGACTCTACTTTTTGTCTCCTCAGTAGCTAGTTAGCTTTTCAGTTCTCACTCCACCACATGTACATACCTGGGTTTCTAAGCATGTCTTTGGCTACCTTATTCATTCAGCTTTCCCTGCAGATGTTCCCTCATCTCCCTCTTCATGTCTTTGCTGACCTTGTTTTTTTACTGTATGTCTGAGCTTTTTCTGGACCCAAGCTATAAATGCAGTCTTTCCTGTTCTTAGCTTCGAGGGAAAGGTAAGGTTCTTGCAAACATATTGGAGGAGCATTAAAAGGGTTTTCTTTGCCTGCGAGGTTCTGTAGTTCTCTCTGGTCTATAGCTTTGTGAGATGACAGGCTAGAAAAGGACACTAGGAGGGTTATGTAGAACTCGTGACTGAAAGAGTGAATCCAGGGAAAAAAGAGTTAAATTTTCCAAGAACCGTATTGCAGGGATCTAGCTAGAAATCATCTGAAAACACATTCATTTCCTTAGTTTGTCCCTAAACTGAGCATATGTATTTGTGTATAGTTGTTAAGTAGCCTTGCTGCATTCTCTGCACCTTTTATTGTGTATATTTTTCTGTGTCAACATTTAATACACACACACACACAGAGACAAAAAAAGCTAGATCGTAATTTTGCAGGTTTGCATCAGTGTAAAAAACAAAACCAAAACATAATGTTTTTAACAGACAACACAAGTGTCAAACTATTCTGGAGTAGTGAGGGTATGGCTTACGATTTGTATTCCTTGTGTAGCGAAAAGCATAGCGAGCAGCCTTAGAGACCTAACCTTTATAGAAGATGACACCAAAGTTTTCTTGTTCTGAAGGTGTCTTAACACTTTAAGTTCACACCTGTACAAGGACCAAACCTAACGATGTCCTTACGTGTCCCATACACTGAAAATTAATAAATTTACCTTAAATATCCAAATAGGGTTCTTCCCAATTGGCAGCCTGGGTTTAAGTCACTTCTCCAGGCAAAACAGTGTCCCTGATGTTATCTGTATGGTAGTCTAATAGTTTAAATTCTTGTAGTGGTTCTGGAAATAATAACATTAAATCTTACAAAGTGGCCCATGCTTCAGTATCAGTGATGACACTGTAGTCTTAGGTCAAGAGAGGAAATGAATATTTGCTTCACATCTACTTTAGATAGGTACAGCCAATCTTTCCAGTATTCAATTAAAAAAAAAAATAATCATATTCCCAGATGTTATGAACACTCACAGGGACCAGAACCAAGGCATCTTTATATACAATGCCAGCTATAGGCATTCATTTAAGTTTACTTGAGTTTCATAAGACTCAAGTATATTTTAAAGTAAGCCATGCATAAATACCTTCCTTTATAAATACCTTGGGATATTGCCTTGAATCAGCATTGAATCAAATTTTTGCCTTGTCTGTTTGCCAAAGTTTCGTAGCCTTTTTGACGTGACTGGTAGACACAGAACATGATTTAACAACCTTCTTTGAAAAGGTAGATACTAAAGACTAAAATTGATACAAGCTAATCATTTGACCTCTTTGTCCTTCTGTAAAGCCAATAGGAAAATTGGGTTGAAAGAGCTGGGGTGCTACTGTGAAAGTGAATTCTGCATCTGAACTGAACTTTCCTAGGTCAATATTTTATTTTTTCCTAAATGGACATGACTCAGTCCAGCATAAGTGATTTTTTAATTAAAATTGATTTTCTGCATTGCTTAGAAGTGAGCAGCATAATTACCCACAGCTACAAGGTAATCTGTTTACTGGCCAAGAGTATTCTAGATGTAAGCACAGCACTTTTCCAGATAAAAGTTTGCTCTTTCTATAAGTTTGGTGAAAAACAACAACAACAACAACAACAACAACAACAAACTAAGGACTTACATAGATTACATTTACTGTTCTAAGCCCACCTTTCTCACAGAGCTTGGAAGACTTCCATGTCTTTGCATTACATTTGTGCTCCCTCATGGGAACATGTGTTTGATTAATGGATGGTGTGTCAGGTATGGTCCAGAGTTGCAATGCAAGGGTTTCTGAGTTTCTGTGACTCTGCTATTACTCAGAACAGCCAAGCATGCTGGAACATAGAACGTAGCCTCATTTTACTAGGTTCTGCTATAAATGTAGTAAAACAAGATTTAATGTCTCTTTAATGTGAGAGCTGATACTGTGAATTGTCCAGATGTTTTTACAGGGCGTTTAATTTCGTTTTCTTTCCTCGGCTTTTTCTTGACATTTATTGTATGTTATACTAAGTGATTCTTCATGCCATATACTTGTGACTATATAATTTATGTTGCAGAATAGAGAATTATTGAGTTTTCTAATTATCTGTAGCAATAGTTTCCACTTTATAGACTTCTTAAAGCTGTCCAAAATGTAGGATTTTGTTTGCCGCACTGGCTGTAAGAATTTTTTCATCTTACTTTCGATTTAGACCTGAATGAATTTGAAAGGAAAAACTTTATCCATCTTATACCAGGAATTAACAAGTAATTTTTATTTAGCAAATGCTACCACAAAGTGTTTTTTTAAGCAGATTTTGCTTCCTGGTCCTGCACTATCTTCTTTCTCCATTTCCTGGGAGTTCGGCCCAAATTCACTATCTTCAAGTACTTCACGTAGAAAGGCCATCCTAGAACTGCAAGGCCTTGTAAATTCCTTGTGACCTTCCCCTCTTTCCCAGATCTCTTTTTAGATTTTCTATAAGTTGATCAGACCTATATACTTGGGACAAAATGATTGGTTTCCATGAATTCATGGCTGTGGAGGAAAAAAAAAAAAAGTTCTTTTATAAAGTATTTCTTAATAGCTTTCCATTCTTCTCCCAGATGGCTTCTAGACAGGAGATGGATGGATGTGCTTTTGTAGGATGCTATTTTTAAAGTGAAGCAGTTGCTGGATGGTTAATGAATACAGTAATAAAAGAAGTTTGGAAATTTTTCTTGACCGCTTCCCAGGACACACATTTTTGTGTGTGCAAGATAGCCTTCGTCCTCTTCTTGTTTAGATAACCTAAGTCAAGGGTTCATTCCTTATATTACTCAGAAGTTATTCTGATTTAAAGAAGAATTAGACTTCATTGGCTATATGCATACATTTCATTTCACAGGAAAAAAAAAAAAGTGTCCAAGTGTAATTTGGGGGAATAATATTTTATACTTCTCTCCCCAAATCCACTCCCTTAGCTTAATTTCAATATTTAAGTGCCAGCTCATATTCAAATCTCACTGCCAGTACCAGATATGGTTTGTGCCTTAATTATTGTACCTGGGCAGCAAGATCGTAGATAGCTGGGGATATGGCTTTCAGTTCTCAGTTGCACTCCTTACATGAGGACCTAGTATCAAGAGTACCATTTTTAACTGAGCAGCCCCTTTAAGTATGTGGGATTATACAATATCATGTCAAGGTTAAACAGCGCTCAAAGACAATCTCCCTTTCTCTTCTGTGGTGCAATGTATTGACTTGGACATAATATTTCCAGATTTCCCAAGGAATTTCATCCTTGCATGAGCATTTGCACTTTTCAACTCTTTTTCAGGCACATCTGTTTGCTTCTACATTTTAGAGAAGCTTCTCATTTTTGTTTTCACCATAGACTCTCCTCTCACATCAGTTCAGTATCCCTCCTGGAAAAGCTGTGCCACTGACTTCAGCAAATGCAATTTTTTAAGTTAGATGTTTGTAAACATCTACAAAAGATTTGCTCCTTTGAGTCCCCAAAATATTGCATGTGTCTACAGAATCACTCGAGATTTCTCTGCTTCTCTTTCAAAAAGTATCAACATTTACTGCTTCAGAATGATCTTTTCTGAGTTTGAGGCTGAGTTTTCATTTTAACCCTTTGGTGGTGTAACTCGTACAGGCACTACGGGCAGGTACAGGGCCTTCCTACATACGTAGGAGGTCTAACGTCAGCCTTGGAGACGTGCTTTGTTCTGCTCAGTTACTGTAGGGTGCTGCTCAGGGTGCCACCGCTGCACCGCCCAGGAAGGCTTGCGAGTGACTTAGCCTAAAGCATCGTGCTCCTCACACTCATAAAGCATGGGTGACCTTTTTGTCCAAGACAAAATCCAAGCCCTCTGCCACTCATCTGGTTCAAAATGTTATAACCACACAGGAGTCAGTGTGACCTCTGCACATTCTTGAGCTGAATTGCCTTAAACTTAAGCTTAAAGTGCCTTCCTAATCAGGATCTATCCCTGCATGTGTCAAGCACATCTAGGTCATTGAATAACAAATACTCATTTCAAAGATCTAAACAGCAAGGAAGATAAATATGCATCACACATCTATCATCAAGGCTAAAGGCCTCACATTTTTTTTCAGAAGTCTGGATATAATGCTACCGTCTAAAGTAGTATTAGAATATGTGTGTCAAAATGATGCATATCTTGGACTCTTCTGGCCATATCACAGACAACAGTGACTGAAAACTATTTATCTTATATGAAACAGCTTTACTGTAGAAAAATGATAGGACTTCCATTTGTTGATGAGATAGTTATTTCTGATGATTCTGCAACATCTAACAGCAGTTTAATTTTATCAGTTCCTGTTTCCTGTGCATTGTATCTTTCTTCTGATGTCCAAAAGATTAAGACAGCAAACATACCTTTACTATTATGGAACTTCAACATGTATGTGTTAGAGGAAGGGACTAAGTAGAACTGAATGTAAAAGCCACAAGCTAAAAAAAAAGAGAGAAAGAAAGCGCAGTTTCTTTTCTCATGAAGCAGTGCCTAAAGTTGCATGCTACATATACTTATAATACTCGGTATCCTGTTCAAGTGGTTTAGTAGTTCCTGTGTAATATTTAAGGCTGCTTTAAAGAAAGAGAGAGAAAAAAAATGCTTTCAGTCTTTTCTTCTTAAATATGTACGAGGTGTTATTTTACTTCTTCTCCTCAGAATGAAAAATAGAAATTATAATATTTTTACTCTTAAACACTCAAACACTTCTGATTTTCAGTTTTTCTGGTAACAGCTCTTTCTAGTGTTATGGGAAGAGAAAAAAGTTTAACATTTTTGTATGCCTTGTAAATAGAAAATTCTTATTCTCCTAACTGACCTAAATTCAGATTTTCAAAAAAAATCTCAGTTCCAGGCTTAGTCTGTGCCTTTTGCCTTGAAACATACCAGGCAAATACATTGCCACAAAAGAATAAAGGATCCATTTTTCACACAGGAGCTTTCAGATTATCACAACTAGTTACAGAGCACTATTACGTTGACTGAAACTGTATTTTCTTTTTAATCCACTAGTTACTTGGTCTTCTTTCCATTGTCAAACAAACAAAGTGGATGGAGGTTCCTCTTTGACCTTGAAAATGTAAACAGGATTAACACTTTTTAGGTCAGTGCTTGCCGGGGCAGCAGATGATGCTGGAGAAGCAGATAAAAGCACCCGCAAACGGCATTAGGCTGCTGAGGGGATTACGGGGGAGCCCCGCCCACAGCGGCACGGGAGCCTTCACCCGGCCTCTGCCCGAGCTCCGTCCGCCCGCAGCGGCCTCGGCTGGGTCGTCCTGGTGCCAGTGGGGTGGGCAAGGAGTTAATGACACAGTTTAGGCAAGGCTTTACTGGGGCATCTGCTGTTATTTGTGCTAAAGTACTTCTGTTGCTACTAATAGCAGCAGTAATACCTTCACTGGTGTAATGCCTTTTGTAATTCCTTCCCGACTTAAATCAGAAATCAATTGGACCCTACGTGATCAAATATTTTCCCTGCAAAGGGAGATAACATTTGACATGACAAACTATGTTCTGTAAGGTGAGAAGGAGATCAAACAGTTACAGTTATCAATTAAATCCGATGAAATGCGTACGCTTTCATGCAAGTGCAATTAACCCTTCATTTATTGGGGAACAAGATGGAACTTCTATTCTTTGGAAAGTATTTAAAGTAAACAGAAATTTACTTCCTATTTATTTACCTTTTAATATGTAAGCTTATGCTTATGCCTATAATCTATCCATGTAAAAATTACTAAGCTGAGACATTACATTCTTTTCTCCAAAATCCTATTAGTTTATTAATTTAATTAGGCAACTCAAAGTTAGAAAATATTAAACAGAATTAATGAGTCCAAACAAATCTACAAGACTTACATCAGGACCTAGAAATATTTCTCAGTATATCAAAATGCTTTATGAAATAAGTTCATTGAAATCTCACACAATGAAGAAAGGTCCTGACTCTCCTGCTGTTCCATTTCAATATTTCAAGAGTGAAACATTTCAATTTTTAACTGCTAAATTATTCTTTGTTATACAATGTAACACGAGATAGAAAAAAAAAAAAAAAAGAAATCAAAATTGTAAATCTTTCTCATGTTGCCAAAGCTTATAATTTCCAAAAACTGAAACAAATGTCAGTACAAAGTTTCCTTGCTGAAATTTTATAATTCATAGATTCTACCCTGGAGCCAAAACAGATTACGATTTTAGCAAAGGATAAAATCCTTCATGAACTAGGACTTACATTCTGCCTGTACTTGAATTGAAACAGCTTAATTCTGACTAGAAATTTGAAGCTATTTACCCACTGAGTAACATGTCAAGTGAAATAAGGGAACTTCCTCTGCAAAAGCAAAAAGGTACCGTTTTTCTGAAGGGCTAAAATCTGGGATAAAAACACCTGTTTTCTGTAAGATCTGTTCCTTATACTTTATTTGGAAAGCAAGCCACAATTTGAAGTAAAAATACAGTTACAGGAGGGCAATAAGGAAAAAGAAAAGTAAGAAAAGGAAAGACTTCTTTTTTTTTATGTTATAGCTTTTTTTCTGAAGAAATTTACTGTAAGCAAACATCAAGTTTTTCACAGTCAGAAAATATGAATATGAACTTTAACCACAAGATATATTAGACACCTGATATACAAGTATATCCTGTCTGCAAGGCACCAGAGCTTTTTCTGAGAGGTTTATCAACAGTCTCCCCAAGTTGCCGATTTTTGAGTTTTAATAGTTTAGCCATACAGCAACTAAACAAGGACAACCTGTTTGCCAGATAATTTGCTTCTACTGAGTTTTGGAACACTGTTCGAAAACCACAGAACAGAAGTTCATCATCTTAGCTTTCTCTGAGGCACTTGTGTTTTGGAAAATGACCTTTTATATGTCAAGCTAAGCTTAGGAAACTTCCATCAGCTACTGACTTGCACTGAAATGTCCAGCACTTTAGAAAGCCTGATTACCTCATCTTTATGCTGAGAACTTCTGAAGAGCAGCGCATTGTATCTCACTACACAGTGCATAGGGCAGGTAAAATGGTAGGAGCATCACTCCAAAGACACAACATCCATAATACGATGTGTCACAGACAAGGTGCAGCAGGCCACATGGTTAATTGCATGAGCAGGCTCTGGAATACCTGAACGTGAAAGGGAAAAAGCTGCTCTCTCTGCTGTGGGCATGGTGACCACGCATGGTGACTGCTGCACCTGTGGACAGCCTAAAGGACCTCTGTCTAAAGGATGAGGCCAAAGTCTCCAGCGTTCATCTCTGTGCAACATCCTGAAGGATCAAAGCCAACCTCAACATCAACTTAGATGTTGTTTTATTCATGTAACCATATTTTTAGTTCTTTGGTGCTGGTTTCAAAACAGGTTTCTGTTTCTGATAGACAAAAGATGCTGATCTAGTAGCGTATATTACCAGCTCTGTTTCTACAGTTCTTCAAGACCAGTCATGTTGCTATCTCAAACTCCTTCCCAGGATAATTATTCTGACAATTTTTTTTTTCTTTCTTTTTCTATTCTTTCTAGTCGAACCACAGCAGAAAAGTGAGGGTGGTCAGGAGTCACGGAGCTTAAGCCCTCACCACGGCTTTGACAAATCACAGTCTGATGACTGCCCGAGAGATTCTGGTTGTTACATCTCATCAGAAAATTCAGATAATGGTAAAGAAGAAATAGACCCAGAAATACTGTCTGACATGGTGCAGTCAATAACAATCACTGAGTCAAACTGATTCAGTCCTGCTGCTTTTCTGCAGATTTTCAGAAAAGACAGTCAGATTTGCTGGTATGATGGCACAGAAGCAGAACATAAAAAACCTACTTCTGTCTGATGTATGATGCTCTAGGCTGTTTAATATCTGGACACTTGGTAACTAAATGTTAGCTGATAGTGAGAACATCTTGTTTTTTTGTCAATGAATCCACAGACATTTCACTAAAAATATATATATATATATATGT